CATGAATCTTCCAGTAAAGCCAATCGACAGCTGGTCAAGAGGAATCCGCCATCGTCTTCTGGTGGAACCGGCCTTCGAATCTCTTTACCCAACAGTTTCACTCGAAATGGAAGTAATCTCCCCTTTTTCGCTGGGCTATTCGCTTTTCCTATATCCCCCTATCACGCCATCACTGCTACAATTTTTACCGGTCATATTTCGATGTAGTGTGGTGTGCTCCTTTTAGCGGAATTTATTAAAACCCTTCACACTCCACGCTGGCGTTCGCACCCTCTCCACCCTTGTGCTGGGAATGTTGATCAGAGTCTGCCATATTGTTACCCAGTCCTTTTTCCATAGGTTTTCTTATAGTCTCTCTCTTGCCCTGTTAGTTTTAGTATGAGTATACAGGTAAAGACTTGTTGTAAAAAGGCTCTTAAGATTGCAAAAGTTTCTTCGATATGACCAAATTTTATTATAACGTTTAAAAAAGATGATATAGCAATACACAAAAAAATAATTGGTATTACGGTATTCGTTACACCAGGGTTTTAACTACATTTCGAGACTACCAGTACTACCTAAATAGGAATTTAGTCACCGAAAGTCGATTAAGGCGATTTAAGAGCACATATGTATGATGGCAAATACACTTTTAGAAGGATCTTTTGTTTCATAATGGTTGAACTTACTTCCATTTCAAATGAAACTGTTTGATGAAGGGATTCGAAGGTCGATCCCACCAGAAGACGATGGAGGATTCCTCTCGACCAGCTGTCGATTGGCTTAACTGGAACATACTTGTTGACGCTATTTTCTAGGTAATTTCCTTCGATTCCAATGAAAACGTGCTAAGCTTGCTCTCGTCGTATGATGAACATCATCAGAGCAGAATGTCATCCTTACAACTATATTCAAGTTAACGAGTCAACAAAACTCGTCGGCTCATCCATAAAAAGCTGTATATATACTCTATATCTGACCATTTTGATGAGGTATAAAGGGATTTGGTTAGTTCCAGTCAAATGTGAAACTGGAAGCATGCGAATGTATTTGTCTTTGTATGTGTATGCTCCTGTATGTGTTCGCAAATGTACGAAACCAGCAGTGATGTCTTAAAGTAATTAGGACAGCAAAAGTAACGGCTATCAAGTCTTAATGACCCCCATCACCCCCTCTCTGTATATATTTTAACCATCACTACCTTTAATATTGATTGTTGATAATAAGAGAAGTGTGATGCATAGGATTTCACGATGCTTATGCAGACACTTAAGGAAAGTGGCTGAGTATTGAAAATATTCAGTGAAAAATTCATATGAATTTGTTAAATTGATATATCAATGGAGTATCAGAAAGGAGAAGCTTTGGGTTAGTTCGAAGTGGTATCAATGTTTACTGGCATCCCAGTTAGGAAGGCTATTAAAGCACTAGCAATCAGTCTAGATGAGCACCCAGAAATTATTGAGAAAGCGAATCTGAGCAAAGGCTCAATCTTAAGGCTATGCAATCTATCCATGAGTAGCATATACTTTACCTTTAATAAGGCTTATGAACAGGTTCAAGGCCTAGCAAAAGGCCCTTTCCAAGAGGATCTGAACATTAGCATCCCTAGGTTTATTGGTTAAGGAGACCTTTTCTCATGCTTGTCTTTGCCTTCGTGCATTCTCTCTAAAAGGATAGGCAAACTAGCAAAGAAGTGGGGGCTAAAAACGACTTTCAGGAAAATCATGGCACCTTCTTCCGTTATGTCCACTTTGAGTGAAAGAGAGTTGGCCCATTATCCAGATCGGGTTGCTATGAAATAGCATGTTTATGTGGTCTCTTCTATGTTTAAGAGACTTGTCGTCCCATTCGACAGATGGTGGCTGAGCACAAAAGTGCATGTAGAGGCGGCCGAGAGAAGGTGCTAATTCTGATCAGGAGGTCCAGCAGAGGATTTGATAAATGATAATGAAAACGATTATGCCCCAATCAACTTACGCAGAGAGTGAGGAATGTGGAAGGAGTGTCAATTCATAATCATTCAACGGAAAATTTGCTAATGGGAATGACTTCCCATTTCATTTCAAATGGCGAGCCCTGGATAGCCTGTAAGGAAGGCTCTGCTTCTACGATGCTAGAGAAACATTTATAGTGTGATTTTGGAAGACCACATGGCAAAAATGAGACAGATCTCAGGTTCTCTGAAAGGATGACTAAGTCGTTAAATCCAACCGTATACAACAAAAGAAGACCAACCAAACTGTAGAAATATCCTGATATTTGTTGTTGATTTTTTAATATTTGAAGGTAAACTTTAAGTTGCATCCATTAATGAGGCATAAATAGTCCCCACGTTACACAAAGAGTGAAATCACCTGTTCCTGGAACGATGAGGAGACAGTGCATTCGCAAGTGCCCAACCAACCCAAGCCGACTGTCCAAACCTGGCAGAGGAGATGAGGCTCTGAGAGCTGCCTTAAGTCCAGTCACACGAGTTAAACGTATCTGCATACGAATGTTATGCTTTTCAGAGTCAACGGGTTTCAGAAGCGGACCCTCGGTCAGTTGGGCAGCAGATAAGATGGCAGGAAGGGAGTCGAAAACTGATTCCATAAGCTGGTTGCTGAGGCGATAAAGGATAGGGGCAAAGACAGATGGACAATCGGGACGGGGACAAATGCAATGAAAAAGGTATTCGAAAGCAAATCAAGATGGTTTTAATTTAGAACGCTTTGTTTCAAATGATTTATGAATTTTGCATCCGTACTGAGCAGCAATTGCGATTCCAGTCTACAAGATCGGCTTTATAATTACTCATGATAACATGAGAGTGGTGATAAGGAGGAATTTGACTGAAATAAGGTTAATCTAATTAAAATAGTGAGTAAAAGTAGCCTAATGCGACTTCTAAAAGTCCAATAAATGTAGACCAACCTCTTTTCATATAGTTTTGGTACTATTTTCCTTAACTGATGGGACAATAAGCAAATAAATGCTAACAATAGCTGATTTTGGACGTACGGGTATCAGGGCCTGTCAAACAAGACCCCATTTAAAAGTAGTCATAAAGTCTACAAAGGATACCAGATCAGTAAAGCAAATAAATGATTTGTATTCACCCTACTCTAATACGAATATAAATAAATGATTGTTTAGAATCATTTTTTGGATAGCTGCTTCCCTTGACAGCAAAAGCAAAATATTTACATCTGTATCCATCCTTTTGAATTTGAGTGAGTTTATAAGATCAAAAAGAATTGAAATTAGTCCGTTAATGAATCGTTACGACGAACAATTTATGGAGTTACGAACTCAAACCAATTTTTGAGGGAGGAGAATAAATTATCTTTGCATATCGCAATCATGCAGTCGTATTTTAGAGTTAGCGAAAGTATGTTTCGGAGGCCTGATTGTTGTAAAAGTGATTCATTTAAGGCCGTTTTTTGTATCCGAATGCTATCAAGTCTGCACAACAAATTTGAGAGGTGTCTAATTTTGCTGTTGATGTCACAGAGCCAAAAAATAGTTTTCATCCAAACCTAACAAGAGTCTCGACCTCGCATCATCGTCTCATCAAGCCCCCCAGAGGGATTAGAGCCTTCGATGGCAATAAGGTGTGGCTTAGTTCGTGACATGCTTGCCTCATAAATCGTTCATCCATTATTCGAGTCGCGTTTGATGCACAGATCAGCAAAAACAAATTCAACGCAAAAATAAAAAAGCTCTCTGTACTTCATCGTGGACAGCTAAATGCCTCAGTTAAATGCAAAAACCAACTTAAACAGATAAATTTTTTGCAAAATGTAACCGTATTCTATAAAGGCCAAGGTATTGCGTATGAAAGATAATCAGATGACAAATAAGAGCCATTGTAGTTTTAAAGGAGCCACAACAAATTAACTTTAGCGCTTTTTGTTACTATTTACTTGTACGACAGCGCCAACTTTAGCTGTCCGTTGGTTTCCTCCTCATGACCAGCCATGCGAAGGTCGAGCTCAAATACAGCCTCCGCAACCTTTCCAGATAAGGAAGATGTGCTCAGGACTGACTTTGGAGTCTGAAGGAGCAGACCGCGTAGCCGAGACCAGGTTAATTGAGCCTGACCAACGAGGTAGTCACGTGACTCCGAAGAAGAGAAACGTAGCCATAATAGGAAATAGACACCCTTAGCTGGTCAGGAGTTGAGAGAATAAAGTTATGAAGTTAGTAAGAAATTATGAGAGGAAGTAAGCAAAAATGCATTCATAATATGAAAAGTTTAAGCTAACACGTGCTTTCACTTAGGTCTAACGTATATTAATAGAAATTAGTTGGATCTCATGATCAGATATTAAATTTGCATATATTAAAGAATTATAACAACCGAAATGGAATGTGAAATAGTTTGATAAGTTAAAATGTGCCTTATCAACAGTCTGAATCGAGATCGCTATCCCCAATTGAACCATATCTGGATTCGTGGTAGTCTAGTAAGACTCAAGTCACCACAGAAAGCGCCAAAAGGTAGCAAGAAAGGCCTAAAAAGCTTGAAACCATATACGGTGAGAACGATTCTGAATGAAACGGTAAATTAATTGGCGAAACCAGATTTTCTCTACAATTAATCTTGGGCCGTGTCACACATCGCGCCGGTACTAACACGCCAAAGTGGAGTATCATATCGAGACTGAATAAGAGGCGTCCCTTCTTGCCTAGGTCTCGAAAGGTGATTCTGCTTTGACAAAGATATGAGTATGCCCGCTGAGGGTTAGATAATTGCAGTTTGACCCCGTCTGAGTCAGTTCAGTACTCCCAATGGGATTTGAGAACAACATGTGCAAACATTGCGAACACGATATCACTCAATCACACAGCCAGTGGGTTACAAGGTAGATTGGCACCTCAAGACAAACCAGGCCTCTCCAAAATCGCACCCATATAGTGAAATCATCGATGTGTAAATTATATTAATAAAAACTGATTGGAGCTGACAATGAGACCGGAAATTTGAGAAACTATTTATCTTTCATGATTAAGTAGTAAGTCAAGAATTACTGATATTTTCAAGGCATACTCATACCGAAAGTGAGGATAGTTAAATTGCTGGTACATTCTATAACCTGTACATGAAGAGGTATGAACATGTCACTTTTACACTCCGTTAAGACAAGCCCAAATACAACAACAATTTTGGTATAAACCAACTCTTTAAGGCATTACTTCCGCTTTGCGGCCTTAAGAGGATATATTTTATCATTATACCTATTATAAGGGTGTGTATAGTCAATTTTTAAATTAACCGTATCCTAGTTCAGCTAGTGGGTCAAATGACAGATGAGTAGTTCAACACAAGCAAGGCCTCTTTCAAATCAAGTCCTTATAGTGAGATTATCGATGAAGAAAACAGTGTCATTAAGATAGAAAACACTGCCTAACTGTCGTGGAAACACATCCACTATCGGTCCTTAAGTAATCATATGCGACCTAGGGTGACTAAGTACTCATTTAAGAATCCCCGATAGTTCTGATAAATACTGATACTGAAAGTGAGTATATTCGAATCTTTGGTCTATTGTGCCACCTATACATGCAGAAGTCTAAAATTTACTTCTGCCATGAGCCAAATTGTCAAGGCTCACCTTTAAGAGAACACATTTTATTTTTGTCTATTCTAAAGATGTGCAATAACTGCATCGCAAAAGGTGGTAAATAATAAAAAACTATAGCAATGCTAAGAATTCTGAAAGAAGCAAAAAAGAAAACTTCAAAATAGTATAAAACAGAAAATTCGAGTTATCTAAAACTGCTTTAATGCTCTCTAAACGAGAAAAATAAGGAAAATGTTTCTGAAAGTATGATGGACATCATCAGAGCGGGGTATAATTCTTAGCTCCGTAGAATAAAGACTGATACAACTGAGTAAAATGATAAGTGTTACTGATAAAACTACAAATGAGATGATATACAACTATAGGGATCAAACCCGACAAGCCTGGATGAACGGATAAACAAGAAGAATGAGTTATGGCAAACCGAAATAAAACTTCCTCACTCATATTTCTTTTATACTATGAGATGTATTCACCTGGTAGAAGAAGAATTTTTTCATAATGATATGAGTTGAGCTGATGTTTCCATTAAATTTCACATAGACTCTGTTCCCCAACAGTTGATCTTATCAACACATCAGCGGGAGTCGAACCGCGACAGTGCAGGATGGGAGCTTGACACGCTAACTACTCGGCTACACTGCCACAACCACCTTTTGGGTTACAGGGCAAACGTGAATTTTCAAGGAAGGCCAGGCCTTTTTGCCATATCATATTATTTTTGGTGGAATTATCGATGAAGCAAACATCTGTTTTGCTATAACAATCGACTACTTGATTTTATTTTTCGCAAACGTATTGTTTTGAGACTCAATAATATGAGATGTATTCACCCAATTTCGTTTAAGATGATAAAGGACTGATAGAAGAATTTTCCCACAATGATATGAGTTGAGCTGACGTTTCCACTCGTGGCAGTGTAGCCGAGTGATTGGCGTGTCAAGCTCCCATCCTTCACTGTCGCGGTTCGACTCCCGCTGAGGGGGTTGATAAGGCCGATGCGAGGTTGAAACTGCAGTCCACCCTGGATGAGAACAACTTTTGGGAAAGCAAGGCTATGTGAAATTCAATGAAAACGTCAGCTCAACTCATATCGTTGTGGGAAAATTCTTCTTCTACCAGTCCTTCACCAGGCAATTTCGGCAAATTATCAATTTCCACATTTCGCCTTCTCCACAGTACGAATGTGAAATAAAACAGTGGCACAGACTTAACGTAAAATTAGAAAAGTACCCGCCTATCAAACAACGGTAGCATGGCCTTCTCTCATACAATAAAGCTTCGATGCACCAGTTGTTGCTACAGCAAATAATCAAACTAACCCTTGGCCAAGAGCAAACCGTCTGGAGAACGTAGAGCGCTGACTGCATACAT